TATTATTATATAGCCCTGATTGTTTCTTCTGTGTTTCTGATTGGGATTTCCCATTCCATATTGATTTGTTTATTAGATGTATCACACAATCACTGAAACAGTATTTTTTACTGCATGACATTTCAAATAAAAATGTATTGTTCATAATCATTTCATCAATTATAATCACACGACTTTGGAACTTGAGTTTTACGGTTGTCTTTGTCTTCTCCTCTTTGTCGTCGTAGTCGTGGTAGTAGAATTTTCCAGATATCTGGGTGGACAGGTGTTCAATCATTCCTATTAGCACTGTCACTACTATCATTATTTATTTTATTTTCACATTTCACTACATGCTGTCTGACTAATTTATCGGGGTAATTATTAAGTTTCAAGGCATCTCTTATAGTTTCACTTCCTGTGATAATGATAATAATATTAATAATAATAATAGTAATACTAATGACGACATGCAAGTAAAACATCCGCAAGACAACACCAACAATAAGGAGTCCAAATCATTAGAAGTTCTTCCTCCCATACAAGGAAGGAACCTCCGAAACCTTATACAGAATTCTTAACAAGGCAAGAATAAAAGTGGCTGGCATTGAAATCAACCACAAACTTTGTCGGTTAGAGGATCAGTGCTGTGGAGCCAATTAAACAAAACAATTTAGTTTGTCTAATACCCTGTCTGCAACAGGGGTAGTCAGACTAGCTAAACATAAAAACCTAGCGGCTAAATCTAGATCAGTTGACGCGAATAAGACAAGAAATCTAGAGAATAGTTCAGCTATAGCACTCACTACATGCAAATTCACACAACCATACAATAGGATGTGATGGGATAGGATGACAGTTTGGAAATCGAATGTCACAGGTAGACGAGAGGGAGAGGTTGATAACAGAAGGTTTGTTTATCGAATCAACTGCAAATATATGTAATAGGAATGATTCAACACCTCTCCACCTTGGACATCTGGAAAATTCTACTACCCTTGTGGCGACAAACAGTAGAAGACAAAGAAAACTATAAAACTCAAGTGTAATCACAATTGATATGATTATAAACGGCAATAAATTGTGTTCGAAACATTGTCATCCAGTAAATAATACTGTTTCGGTGACTGTGTGCTACATCAAATAAAGAAATTACTTGCCACTACAGTGCCCAGGTTTTACACATATATGAATATGGGATTTCCCATATATTCAGGAAAGGTGCCGGATTATTCTCCACCTAGCTATATATTACTTGTCAATACTTTCGCCCTATCTTACACCGTTGTGTGTGTGTATGTGTGTGTGTGTGTGTGTGTGTGTGATTACACAACACAGAATGCGTTGCAACTGGTCAAGATTTTTGTCTTTTCTAGGTTATTTTAACCCAGAATAAGGGTTAATCATTCATCCTAGGTCTAGATGAACCTCTGTTGTCCCGCAAATCTAACTGTGACGCCGATCTAGTGGTTTCACCTGTATAATAAATAGATCTCGCAGTCATCAAATGCTCCTTGTTAAATTATTTTGCTTTATTTGCTTAATTTGCTTAAGTCAACAATGTTTACCTCTGAGTCAGTTGGTTGGTTGGTTGGTTGGTCGGTGGGCTGGTTTAAATGCCATCCGAACAATAAATACAAGCCTAACCACCTCGCCAAGTTTTCTGGTCTGGGGTGCAGTAAACTGGAGGCAAGAATGAAGCTATGACGTGAGCCTATTAAACCCACTTCATAAACACAACATCACTGCTAGTGAAACTTCGAGGATGCATACCTAAAGTCATGCGCTGCATTCGGAAGGTGAAGAAATGTCCAGAAAGTTCCAGGCTGACTGAGATGAATTCCACACAAGTGCAGTGTAGATTTCTCCCAAGAAATTTGGAGTGATCAAGTTTATGAATTTGCAAAAGATAACTCTTACTACTTATTGCTTCTAAGTAGTATGAAGTTGTACACAAAAGAAATAACGATAGAGGACAGATAGGAAAGGAATTAACAGAATTATTGTGTGTTAAACCGAATAAACTTATCTATTGTAGAATTATATTCCATCACAGTGACTAAATTCCGTTATCACTATTATTAGTGTTATTAGGGTATATGTTATTCAGATAGGATTTCTTTTCCACACTAAAACTACCACGTTATTAAGCTCTCCGTCATATAAAGAAGGGACATCATAGGCTTTGCGTAGGATTCCTAATAATGTTGTGATTAGGATGGCATTTATACCAGCCAATCGACGAATCAACTCACTCCGAGGCACACATTGTGGATTTCAGGACTCGACAGATTTAGTTAGACAAATAAAATAAAATAAAGTACCATGTGATGACTGCGAGATCTATTTATTATACAGGTGAAACCACTAGATCGGCGTCACAGTTAGATTTGCGGGACAACAGAGGTTCATCTAGACCTAGGATGAATGATTAACCCTTATTCTGGGTTAAAATAACCTAGAAAAGACAAAAATCTTGACCAGTTGCAACGCATTCTGTGTTGTGTAATCACACACACACACACACACACATACACACACACAACGGTGTAAGATAGGGCGAAAGTATTGACAAGTAATATATAGCTAGGTGGAGAATAATCCGGCACCTTTCCTGAATATATGGGAAATCCCATATTCATATATGTGTAAAACCTGGGCACTGTAGTGGCAAGTAATTTCTTTATTTGATGTAGCACACAGTCACCGAAACAGTATTATTTACTGGATGACAATGTTTCGAACACAATTTATTGCCGTTTATAATCATATCAATTGTGATTACACTTGAGTTTTATAGTTTTCTTTGTCTTCTACTGTTTGTCGCCACAAGGGTAGTAGAATTTTCCAGATGTCCAAGGTGGAGAGGTGTTGAATCATTCCTATTACATATATTTGCAGTTGATTCGATAAACAAACCTTCTGTTATCAACCTCTCCCTCCCTTCTACCTGTGACATTTTTTATTTTTTTTTTATTTTTTTATTTACAGCTTGATTCCACACTGTATTTTTGATACAAGTATGGAATTTTCAGCATGGATATCGTTAGCCCAAATTTTGCAGGCCGACCATAGATATCAGGTGTGCGCCGGCGTGAGCTCGAACCCCGGACCATGTGGATGGTCGGCGAGAGTCTTAACCACTGTGCCACCGACGCACATTCGATTTTCAAACTGTCATCCTATCCCATCACATCCTATTGTATGGTTGTGTGAATTTGCATGTAGTGAGTGCTATAGCTGAACTATTCTCTAGATTTCTTGTCTTATTCGGGTCAACTGATCTAGATTTAGCCGCTAGGTATTTATGTTTAGCTAGTCTGACTACCCCTGTTGCAGACAGGGTATTAGACAAACTAAATTGTTTTGTTTAATTGGCTCCACAGGATTGATCCTCTAACCGACAAAGTTTGTGGTTGGTTTCAATGCCGGCCACTTTTATTCTTGCCTTGTTAAGAATTCTGTATAAGGTTTCGGAGGTTCCTTCCTTGTATGGGAGGAAGAACTTCTGATGATTTGGACTCCTTATTGTTGGTATTGTCTTGCGGATGTTTTATTTGCATGTCGTCATTAGTATTACCATTATTATTATTAATATTATTATCATTATCACAGGAAGTGAGACTATAAGAGATGCCTTGAAACTTAATAATTACCCCGATAAATTAGTCAGACAGCATGTAGTGAAATGTGAAAATAAAATAAATAATGATAGTAGTGACAGTGCTAATAGGAATGATTGAACACCTGTCCACCCAGATATCTGGAAAATTCTACTACCACACCTACGACGACAAAGAGGAGAAGACAAAGAAAACTGTAAAACTCAAGTTCCAAAGTCGTGTGGTAATAACTGATATGATTATGAACAGTAATAAATTTTGCTCGAAACTGTGTCATCCAGTGAATAATAGTACTGTTTCAGTGATTGTGTGATACATCTAATAAACAAATCAATATGGAATGGGAAATCCCAATCAGAAACACAGAAGAAACGATCAGGGCTATATAATAATAAAGCAAGTTATCAAGCTGTGACACTACACACACTGTTTCATCAATAGCGCGTCCCAGTGAAACTTGCTCTAACCACTGGGTAATCTAAGATGATTGTGGTATATATACATTTGCGATTCAAGGAGAAGACGACAGATCTTATTGAGAGGTAAATAAGTGCAAATATAAGCAATGATATCATTTAACTAATCCTGGTGACACGTGTCCTTTCTCAATATTAAATAAATGCCTTGATTGTTACTTATATGACTCATCCTACTGATGTTTACGAACACAGCGGGGATTGGTCTGTATAAATCACTGCGGTACTAGAATTTCTTTTCTATTAAAACGTTTGTCTGAACTCTTCTGCATTTTTCTCAGTGTTTTAATCGTGTAATTTTATATCAAGTGACTAGCACATGAAACTCGAGCGCTTATTCAAATTAGCTATTTCTAAATGCCGACATTCATTCCCCAGTATCATTGATTACAATCTCTAATTTTCTCTAACAGGCTGTAGATGTTCGACGGATAGCCGGTTTGAATGGTGATGTGAGACACCTCAGCCTGCCTCATTTTAAACTCAGAAAAATTGTTCAAAATGTATATAAAACAATAAGAGAAGAAATATGAATCAATATGTAGGTGGTGTTTTTTTTTGTCAAGGACCGAAAACATCACCCAAAAAACACATGGGAAGTGCTCTTCAGTCACATAGATGGTCTGCGGAGGGGGGCGTCCCATTCCCAACGTCGACATACACACACACACTGAAACCTCGCCTAGTTAACTCATCACTTTCGTGAAAGAGGGCAGTTTGCTGAGGGGGCAGGCAGGGATGGCTTGACAACCTCACCCGTCAACCCTAAAATCAAACACCACCGGGACCTCTACTCACACTCTCAAGCTTATCTCCTGAAGCCATCGGTATATTCTACTCTTAATCGATAAAAATGAAACCAAAAAAAATGAAAAAAAAACACGATATAGAAAACGATGCTCAATACAGAAAGAATACTTACTCATCTACGGCATTCTCTTTGTCCAACTTCATAGCCAACATTTTCTTCTTAATATGCTCCATGCTTATTGATTACTGCTCAAATCTGACGAAAATATCCGTTTGTAGACAAATAAATAATATCTCACTTAATGAGACAAAAAAGGAAAAAACAACGCAACTAAGCTTTGAAAAGCTGGTAGTTACTGAATGCAAAACTGTGCCTGTGAATGCCTTAATATAACTTAAAGAATGTTCTTTTCTGTCTTGATTCCTACTTCTTCTCTTGCTTTTGCTTTAGTTTGTGCGTGTGTGTGTGTGTGTAGGCGGGTGTGGCTTACCACATACTTCATTGCCACCCCCCATCCCCCCAATATATACAGACCCACATAAATTCCTTTTACATCCCTCATTGGGATAAATAACTGGGCGAGAGAGAGAGAGAGAGGCTGCGAGGCGATTAACCAATCAGATGAGAGTGTGCATGCATTTTGTGTACGGATTATTTTCCTTATTTAGATATTGATTTTCAACTAGTACAATAACCTGTAGAACATGCATCACCTTACTTTCACTGTTTCTGCCCTTATTGATTATTAGGATCTGTGCATATTGGTGTAAATAAAGTGTGTTAGGAAAACACTTTTTCTCCGTGTGTGTTATTATTGCTGAGTGAAAATGCATAAAATTCTTGATTACAAGTTATCTTTACAGGTTAGTTTTTAGGGATTCGATGCTGGGAGTGCAGCTATGCCTAACTTCCATAAACAAACTGAAGGAGTTGCCATGGGATCACCAATATATCCCCGGTTGTGGTAGATATATTCACGGATAGGTGGGAAAATATAGCGATTGAAACGTTCACTCCCACCCCGGAAAGTATGGTGGAGTTGGTATGTAGATGACATATTCACTGTACTTAGAACACAAGATATAATAAATAGATTTTTCGAACACATTATATCACAAAGGTGGAGGCAATTCAATTCACTTATGAATTGAAAAGTCAGGAAGGAAGGAAGGGGAGCTTTCAATGTTAGATTGTAGCGTAAAAAGGGAAGAAGATGGGAAGTTAAGCACACAAGTGTGTGTGTGTTTACAGGAAACCCACACATTCAAACAGATATTTGGACTTCCGATCATCCCATGCTATGTCAGTGAAAATAGGATTGGTGGAATCTTTAAGTGAAATAGAGCACAAAATCTAAGTAGTACCAAAGAAAATCTAAAACAGGAAGTGATACATATAAGAGAGGCCTTGAAACTTAATAATTACTCTGATAAATTAATCAGGAAATATGTAGGGGAATGTAAAAATAAAATGAATAATGTTAGTAATGCTAGTGATAATGATAATATTAATGACGACATGCATGTCAAACATGCCCAAGACAACACCAACAATAAGGAATCTAAATCATTAACAGTAATTCCATACAAGGAAGGAATCTCGGAAGCCTTACGCAGAATTCCTAACAAAGCAGGAATAAAAGTGACTGGCATTCAAACCCCCACAAACTCAATTAGAAACAAGCCTTATCGGTTAAAGGATCATTTCTGTGGAGCCTTTAAAACAAAACGATTTAGTCTATTTAATACCCTGACTGTAGTGATTGTCAGGTCAAATACATAGGTCAATCTAGTAGAACAGCTGCAGTCAGACTAGCCGAACATAAGCACCTAGCGGAATCTAGATTGGTTGACCCGAATAAGATAAGAAATCTAGAGAATAGTTCAGCTATAGCACTCACTGTATGCAGTTACACACAACCATACAATAGGATGGGATAGGATGACAATTTTAAAATCTAATGTAACAGGGTGAATAGAGGGAGAGATTGATAACGGAAGCTTTGTGTGGTGATTGACAATTTCTATCTCTGTATTGTTTAAAATACTTACTGTTGACTGTTGATATGTTTCATATATGAATTGCATTCTAATTCCGCTAAATACAAATTCCTGATTGCTGCCCTCTCTGGGTTTTGTTTAGATTCTTATAATTCCGTCATCGAAATACTAATACTTCAAGTACAATAAATTACTACAAATTGGCGTCGCGATGGAGCTAAGTAACCTGGGAAAATTTCCTCTTAATGGTTCTCCGCGGGAGATTGCTGATTATTTGGAATGCTTTGATGCGTGGTGCATTTCCAAGAATGTTCGGGATGATAAAATACCTGCTCATTTCATCACCGCTATTGGGCTTGATGCATATAGCCTGGTGAAGAATCTGGCATTTCCAGATAAACCCATTTCTATGTCATATGACAAGATCCGTGAACTTTTGACAAATCACTTTCATGTAACTATATTTGAGACCAGAGAGAGGGCTCAGTTCAACAAACTGGTACGTTCTCCCAACCAGAAGATTCGAGAATTTATTCTTCAACTTCAAATTCAAGCCTCAAAGTGTAATTTTGGAGATCAGCTGCATACACAACTACGTGATCGTCTAATTGCTGGAATCAACATTCCTAAATTAGAGAAGGAGTTAATTCAGATTCCTTCTTGTACGTTTCAAACTGCTAAAGATGTATGTATTACATATGAAGATGTCAATAATGAATACTCTGCTCCCACTACGTCAGTGTCTGATGTTATGCTTTCTAAAGTCGAAAATACAAGTGTTCATGGAAAGAAATCCAAACTGCCGTCCACAGGTAATAGAATGCAGCCAGAGATCAAAAACATTAAACCGTGTTTATCCTGTGGAAAGTTACATCTACGAAGCACTTGCCGTTTTCGGGGTGCTAAGTGCTATAAATGTGGTAAAGTTGGACACATCAAGACGGTTTGCAGAAGTTCGAATACTTATGTTGCTCAACATTCTTATAATTCTCCCAAGCTGTCTAGTAAAATGGAGTCAATGTGTCTTTCAACCTTTCAAAATACTCAAGCTAATCCAATGAAAACCTCCACTGCAAGTTCAGCAACGCAAGCATCAACTGTTTTCAAAAATGAGGTAGCCAAGTTGCAATGTGAACTGTCGAAAACACGAAAAGACCTGAATGAGATGAGAGAGCAACTGATTAAAATTGAGGAATTACTGCATATGCATAGACTACGTCTGTGAATGCAGAGCATACAAGTACCCGTGAAAGTCCTGCAAAACTATTCAAATCTCGAATTCTCAAAAAGCATCTGATGTCCACTACTTCTAATGTACATTATTACAAAGATAATAACTACAGACCTTCTGTTGGAATTATACTACAAAAAATGGGAAATCGAGTGGTGAAGATATTAGACATCAAAGATCACTCAGTTCATAACGGACACCTGGACAAAGTGACAATAAATGAAGTAGGTCGTTCCAATTATAATATTATTGATTCCGCTAATAATCCTGATTTTGTAGATAATTCAGAAATAGTCCAGATAATACTGATGAAAATAATATCACAGAATCAGTTAGGTCGAAGCTACTTGCAAGCAAACCGAGACATCGTTATAAATACGCAAGGAGATATTCGAGGTGTGGCGGACTTTGTTTATCGAATCAACTGAAGATAAGTTCAACAGGGCCGGCTCGACAGCTGTTCACCCGGAAATCTGGAAAATTCTGCTACTGCATCAACCAAAAAATGGGTAGGAAAAGGAGAGAACTGTAAAAATCTCAAGTTTCAAAGTTGTGTAGTTACCATTGTATGATATGATTGTGAACAGTAATAAGTTGTGTTCGAAACTGTGTCATCCAGTAAATAATAATACTATTTCACTCTGTGTGTGATATATTTATATCCAACAAACAGATAATGATGGAACTATTCAATGTAGTACGGTAATCAGTAATTAACGAAGCCGGATACTGACAGCCGATTACAACTTTAAATTCACTACTATTAAGGCATACAACATTCTTCAACTCTATGCTTACACTTCCATTCAGTCTATGTATACATCTTCCTAACTGATTTGCTGTCTCTGGATTTCTATTACATTACTGTAGTATATATTTCTATTCCTTAACATTCCAAATGGAACATAGGGCCTCAAACAAGAGGCTTGAAGTTTCGAGAGTAGTGGTGTTTATTTTTACAGGATGGGGTTGCTAGCAAGCCTCATGTCCAACCTTCCTTTTCTACTAGTCTTATTACTGGCTTAGCGAGATGAAGGAGTGCGTCAGTGGCCGGTGATCGAACTCCGAACCACATGAGAAGTAGTTGGTGAACATCCTACCGCTGTGCCACCGACGCATAATCGAATTCAAATGTAGACAGATCTATTTATAACAGAATTAAGTAAGAACGATAACATTTGGCGTGCCTGACAGACAACACTGACTGTCATTACTTCAAAATAGCAAATCTCGATAAGTTCCTGTATGGTTACGCGGGTTCCTTACTGCTCCATTCGCAGGTGAACAGACACAAATGTTGGAACATTAGCAACTATATACTTCAGAAATAAAACAATACGACAGTTTGACAGGAGGTTTTAAGGTGCACCCGAATTTAGGACAAACAGTTTACCAGAAATATTCATTCAGACATCTATAAAACACAAAATAATTGAGCAAAGAATATCCTTTTCGATAATTTCCTCTTCTGGCTCTACAATTATATATACATATGTTTATATACATAGAATATTCTAGAATAGTAGTCAATAACAATAGTGGTGTTTTTTAAATAATATCGATTTGTAAAGTAAGATCACAATGAAATTATCACAGTTCATTAAAGATGCTTAAATTATAATAATAATAATAATAAAGATATAATAGAGAATAGAATATCAACTAAAATTAAGAAAATTCCACAAAAATTCAGGATCATTCAAACCTAGATGGTCAAGTGGGTAAGGATAATGTCTGAACCAACTTTTTTTGGACGCACAAATCAGGCTTGTCAGTATGGATCCCCACAGCCAGTCTCAGCAATATTTAGTAGTCGAACTCTTAAGGTGAAATTGAGATTCGTAGGTATGCGGTAAATGACCCTGAAAGCATGGTTAACGTCAATCTTGTGTTCTGTATCCACACGATGAGACAGAATAGCGCTCCAAATATATTTTGTTTGTCCTTTACTCAACCAGCCACACAGGGTGATGTTCGGAAATTCGACGAGAAACACGCCTAATTGTACGGCCTATGTAACTGGCTCACTCCACAGGAGCAGTTAAATTAGTTGATACATACACATGGAAGTGGCGAAATTAGGCAGTTTGTCTCTTACTCCCGAACGCAGAAGAGGAATAGTTTTAAAGATACAACATAATTCAGCAGCAGGAATGCTCG